GTATAGTGTTTGTAGTAAACTAAGTGATGCCAGAAGGATGTTTGATGAAAGTCCTGTTTTGGCTATTGCAGGGCTTGTAAAAGGAGCTAATCAAGGGGAGGTGAATTGCTTTCACATGTCTTCTTGGCTGAACTTTGTCCTGCTAATCAAATATCACTTCTGCATTTTCCTCTGATTTATTGCTTTTAGCTGTTGATTTAGTTTAGTATTTGATTGAAGAATAAGATATCTTATGCATCCAAAGTATCTGATTTCAGGGTTTGGGTAATAAATTCTTATCCCACATTCTTGTGTCATTGGTTTAAAAATAATCACTGCTTATGAAATCTCTGTTTTTAGGTTGTCTTGAACGGGATGAAGTGAGGAAAAGGATTCATGTAAACATGGCTAAGTTTGTTGTTGACTTGTAGTTTTTGTGTACCTATCATTGTTCTTTTTGTGCAAAAAAATAGTGTTTCAATTCTTTTTGTATGTTGCTGTTTGGAGATGCGATTTGCAGACTAGGCAATTTGTTGCTGCCTGTATTGTTCGGTGGCTTAGTTAATGGAGATGATGGTGAACTTGCAGGGGCACTGGGTAGTGGATGTGGTGAGCTGGGGACAAAGGCTGTAAGAGGCTAAGACAAGATGGGGGACAGGGTCACAAGGAATGGTTGGTATGTGCTTTCTCATTTTTTAACTTTGTTTCCCATGTACTTTTGTGTTTTGTACGAGACGTGAGTGTTCTTATAAAGTATTGTACATGCCTAGACATTACAATATATGGAAAAAGTGAATTCTAACAATGGAGCAGCATGTTTTATTGTGCAGTTAATTTCTCTTTTTCATTGACAAGCTTCACTTTGGATTTTCAGGCTGAAATCAATTATCTTGGTCAGTTGCGTCATCCTAATCTTGTAAAATTGATTGGTTATTGCTTAGAGGATGACCACAGACTTTTGGTCTATGAGTTCATGCCCAAGGGTAGCATGGAGAATAATCTATTCAGGAGTGAGTTCAGTATAACCTTGTATCTGGCTTTGTGTGATTGGGAGGTATATATTTCTCTGAACCTATTGCCTCCCGTTATTTAGTTGACAATGATTTTGTGTTGAACCAGGAGGTTCTTACTTCCAGCCATTTTCTTGGAGCCTACGAATGAAAATTGCTCTTGGCGCTGCACGGGGACTTGCCTTTCTTCACAATTTTGATCTTTTACCTGAGAAAGATGATGGAGGCTATGTCTGTGGAGGATGGAAGTGGTGATTAGGCTTCCAGAAAGAATTGTTTACTCTGGGGAAATTTTTTATTTGTACATAGAGAACAGAGCAACCCGTGTAATAAATTTCTTTATTATTGAAACTTCGTATTTTTTT